GTCTAAAGAGGTTATAATTTCATTGTACAGGTCACCAGTTAGACTACATTTGAAATACTGTGTTCAGTCTTGGGCTCCTTACCTTAGACATTGCTTTGTTGGAAAAGGTTCAGAGAACGGATACTAGAACGATGCCTGGAATGGAGGGGTTGTCAAACGAGGAGAGGCTGAAATCTCTCAAATTGTTTTCACTTGTGAAAAGAAGATTTAGGGGGGAATCTGATTGAGGTGTTTAAGATTGTAAAGGGAATTGATAGTGTTGATGCATTATCTTTATTCATGTCTAACAGTGAGAATAGAAGGACTAGGATATACAAATGTAAATTTTGGCAAGTTAGGAGTCACCTTCAGCTAAGACAGTTTCATTTTTCTAACAGGGTGGTTGGCATTTGGAATGGGTTGCCATTAGATGTTGTAGAGTCAGTAAATTTAAGTGGGTTTTTAGAAAAAGCCTGATAAGTATATGACTGATAAGGGTCAGCTTTTAGATTTTTATTTAATTTAGTTTAGAGGATTTAACAGCCAAGATGGACCAATAGCTCCCATGTTGTCCCAAAATATTATGTTATGTTATTTAGATAGTAAGGTGTGTGCACATTTTTAGGACAGACAAAAACCAAGTAATCATTTTTTAAAAGAACAAGAGTTTTGAACCTAGTTGGAAAGAAATGTTAGTAGATATATTAATTCCAATAATTTAAATGTTTATCGTAATTTGCTTTAATGCATTTGTCAGATGTAAGAAATGACTGCCACAAAAATGTCCCACTTCTTTAAATTACCTAAGTCTTTTCATTTTCTTCAAAAAAAGAAATCTTATTTGTTTTCTTCCTAAAAATTTAGTTTGCTGGTATTTAGTAGTTATAAATATTATCTTAAGAAGACAATCCTTAATGTAAGCTATGCATCTGAAGTTGTTTCTTATTAATGCTTGAAACATAAAGGTTTTATTTATATTCTGACTCTTAGTGTGGAACTATCGTAACATCGGGTTTGAAGCCTCCTAATTCTTTATCAAAATCCAACAAGTGTGGGTCTTCAACATCATCTGTTTCCAGCTCTTCATCTCTCCCTCGCAGGTCAGGGCTGCCAAAAGCCACTACATCAATCAAAAACCTGCCTATGGGTCAAGTGTCCAACACTAAAATAAGAGGGGACTCAAACATCTTAAAATTACCTGCAACAAAGCCAATGGTAGTGTCCCGAGAAAATAAGATAATTCAGAATCCTGCCAAAACTGGTGCAAACAAGACATTGGAAACAAAAAAATGTACCCCTTTAAAAGCTACAGCACCACTAACTTTGATGATAAAGCCCAGTAGGAACAGAGATATTAGAGGCTCCAACCACACAGGTATAACGTGACACAAAGTCAGTTTTTCACTGAAATAATGAAAAGGCAAAGTTAGTAACTTCAGTAGAAAATTTACATATAAGGTGATCAAAATAAATATTTGTAAAAGTTGTTTTAGTTTACATAGAAACTATGAGTAAACAGGGCTAAGAGAATAAAAAAAAAGTTTCTGTCAATAATTTTATGTGTCTTTTATGTTCAGTGAGTTAGTTTCAAGTCAACTTATTTTTAAATTATTATTTTTTATGCAAAAAACAACCTCAGATCCGTTTATGTTCTGTATCTACTAAAATATGTGTTAAGTGAAATCAGGTGAGCTTTCCTAAACATGCCAGGAATGTTTAAAAACTTAAATTTTTAAATATCTTTAATGTTTTGCTGTTATACTCGTAATACATAGGAAATATTGCCATTGCAGATCTTTATTTGATCTACTGAAAGTTTTGTTTTACTAATTAATTTGGTACTTGAACATCAATCACACCCTAGTCCTTGCAGACTGAGACCAGTGTTATCACTGATTTTAGGCTATTGCTAATTTAGGAAAGATTGTTTTTGTTAATTATTGATTTATGTTTTATCTGTGTAATATATTTCTTGAATTGTGTACAAGAAGTAACAAACACAGAAGCCTTTACACCACAGTTAAGATTAGTGATCAGTTTTTGTTTTGGCAAAAGCAAAACACTTTCAGCTTTCCATTGTAGCTAATGGAAAGATAGTGATGAAATGAATACATCAGAGATTGAACGTTTGCAAATCAGTATCACATATTTTACAACTGTATCCTAGTTACTCTATGCAACAATTGACTACATCAATGCCATGCCATACAACTTAGGAAGAACTAATAATAATAAAGTTTTAGATTGTATAAATCTGTTGTTGTGTACTAGACAATGTAGTGCCTAAAACTACACCAAACAAAATGTTGAGGTGTAATCATCAGATCCAACACTGTACAGCTCTGCTACTTGCATCATATATAAGTTGTACCACTATTTAGGAATGCATTTACAAAATCTTATAAGTACACTTATTTGAGCAGTAATTTTTACATGCCATTATATAAATAAAGCCAGTTGTGTTTATAACCCTTTTTTGTAGATATATTAATCACTATTGTTTATTAACTGAAAAACGTGATATTTTATTGCATAGATTGTTCCTGAACTTGGCACTATTTACAGCTATAATTCAAATTTTTACTTTCTTAGTCTGCCCTTGGTATGTGGTAGTTAACTCGGTGACAATGATTTGTCTACTGCTAATTTTCTGTCAGTAGTCAATCTGGTCTCTGCTTTTAAAGAGTCAAATATGAATCCTGTTGCACTGAAGAAATTACAACAAGGTGCTTCTGAAGAATAGACCTGTAATATTTTCTAGTAAATTGACTTTCTGACATAGTATTGGCATCCTTACACAATATACACTTTGTTTAGAGCTGGGTGATTACTGATATTTGCTAACTGTTTAGTACGGTGTACCTCAAAGAAAGAAAAGTTGATGGCAGGTGTTGCCAAACTGTTGCCTTCCCTCTAGTCAGCAGTTCAAACGTTGTGACAGTGGTTGATAGTTTTAGTAGCTTTGCTATAACAAAGACAGGATGAGCAAGTTTGGTGGGAATGGGAATCAAACTCAAGACAACCAAATCATGAGGCTAACTCTTCCAATCACTTCAGCCCTAATCACCAGAGCTGAACAAACTTGAAATAAAATAAAAAACTTGTAAAGCTAAAATTGTGCAGAGCAACGATAGCCCATTATATGGCTTTGTGTTTAATAAACTGTTCACACTTTAAAGGGTACTGTATTTGGCATAATTTTTTACGTTTGGTTTAATGCAATCATTTTAAACATACTATTTCAGAGTCATGGCGTGTGTTTTTTATGGGTCTAAATGTACACCAGATCCAGTGATTAAATTTCATGACTTTCTTAAATAATTATCTTAGGAATTTGTGGATAATTTGTGAAAATAACTCAAAAATATGAAGGACTATTTGGATGTAGTAGCTTCATATACTATCTTTATTTCAAAAGATGATACTAAAACTTCACTATGTCAGTGTAAAAGACCAAATAATTCCATATATTCATCCTAAAAGCATATGTGCAGAACAGCTGTTAGGCCTAGCAATACAGGTATTAATAGCAACAGTAAAGTTTTTGACAACACTTTCATTAGGAAAAACAGTACTGATGAGTGTTTCTATTTTCTATATACCAGGAAAGTTTTTTTATATCAACAATTTGTATACCTTCAGGTTTGTTTGGTGTCCACTTGCAAAATAAGCTTATTAAATAATTACTTTGTATTCCATTTATACCAATTATCTTAATTCAACTTAGTATATAATTTCATTCACATGATGCCTGTCTTTATCCTTGTGTATTTTTTGGTGCATGTTAATTCATTCAGCTCAAGAAATCCAGAGTACAAAAGAACAAACATTAGGTCTGTAAGCTGTTGGTGATGATAATCTCTTCAGTTTTAACCTCTACTTCTCCATCATTCACTAAGATTGGCTTGAACATATACAACTGAATAGATGTTTTGTTCCAATTATTTTTACTTTGTAAATGTTTTGATGATACACTTTTGCTATCGTTACTGTCAAAATTGTCATTCACTTAATATCATTGTTAATGTATATGGAACCATGCTTGTTTGTTTTTGTGACATTATAATGCTGGTATTTCTCAATAGGTATAACATTTTAATCAGCCTTTATTTGGGAGTTTCAAGAACAACCTGTTATGCAACTAGAAGTTTCTGGTTAGGTTTGGTAACTAATTGTTAAATGAAGATATAAAGACATATAACTGATAAACTCTAATTTACAAAAACAATATGGTAATTCACAGTATTTATGATATTACAAACCTAAATATGTTGCTACTATGTATATATTGGAAAGGATCTAATGTCTGTGTCTTAGTGTCCACTATAATTAGTCCAGAATTGTACTGCAGTGATGCCTGATTCACCAGACATTCCCTTCCAAATAACATATTTCAATAGGCGAAGGAAAGAGATATAAAAAAAAGAAATATTTATAAATCTAATGAATTGTTTTATTTTGTGTTTATCTCTCTTAAATTTCTAATATTTTTCAAGCTAACTTGTAGTTCAGTTACTCTTAACCTTTAGAACTTAATGCTATGTGTAGTGGGTTCTCTTAATAATGTTATTACATTTAAATAGTTTCACCTACTTTGTGATGTAAAATACCAAAGCTAGCAAAATAATAAAATTTAAAAGGCCTGGCAATTGTGATTAATGACATATAAATGAACCACAGTTTTTACCACATTCCTCTATAAATTAAATGCACATTGGGTTTCAAATCTAAATTGTGTTAAAAAACACATTATCTTTGCTGCCATAGGTAAATTATCTTCTGGTATTCAATGTGAAACCTCTTGAGCAGTGACTCGTGGCAAACAAATGATCATAATTATCGTGCTTCATCTACAGTCTCTATAAACGCCTTACTTCAATACCTGTTAAATAAATTTGTTAAGAAAAGACAAAAACTATATAATTTTTTTTATGAGACTTAGAAACAAAGAACTTGTTGTTCTAAAAATGTGGTTACCATAACTAAATATGAATTGATTTTTATAACCTTGACACACACAACTTCATTTAGAAATAAAAACTTATTTATATACATATATATATTCACATACACACATGTTAGATTCTTTAAAAAGTAGATTACAGTATAATTGTTCAGAGATGCTTGAAAGTATGTGTTGACTTGCTTCCCAAAACACAAAGCAATAATGATTTTAATTAATTCTGATTTGTAATCTTCATTCTTTATTAGGTGACAATCCTCAAAGAGGTACAAGTGTAACTCAACGATCTAATAGTTTTGTAAGCAGTGGTCAGCATACTCCATCCAGAAAATCTTTTGACATTTCCTTGTCAACCCCAACATTGACTTCAACTCCAAGCACACCAAAGTAAGTCTTGTGGTATTAAAAATTGATGACAAAGAATTGTAAAATTAGCAGCAAACCTTGAGGATAATTTAAAGTTGTAATTCTCAACTTTTCCAATGACTACTAACTTGAGTGATGTACCTAGAGTTAGAGCCTTAACAGACATAAATAAGTAAGTCTATTATCTTTCATTGAAGCAACATATAATTTCTAGGAAAATAAAAAAAAATGCATGCAATTATGCTGCTACATAAATATAATGAAATTGTTCTGCCAGTCTGGTTTGACATGTTCACTGATAAGAACTTTTTACAGATTAGTAGATAATAAGAAATTGTTGTCATTAAGAAAGAATGAAGCTGAATGTATAGAAGTAGAACTATACTTGTCGTGCTTCTACTGGTACGTATTTTTGCCACTAAAACTTTTGTGTACTTGCTTAAAACATTACAGGCTGTTGCTCTGACTGGATACCTTCAGTAGTTAACTCTCTATCTCTCTCATCCTGAGTAGACCAACTCAATAGATATTCCAGGCTATTATAAAATTATATTCCAGACAGATTGACCAAATATATCATTTCTTAGCAAGTAAGAAACTTTGCATTTACCAGAGCAACCTGCACTCCCCACTTGACTGGTCATTCCCATTACAACATAGGTGTGGTCATAACCTCTGGAATTCACCAAAACAAATATTGACATTTTTTCAACATCCTTATACAACATGTCATATTTTCCCAGGTGGAACAGGTATTATGTACTTGAAGAACAACAAAGGAACAAAGGTAGCTTAGAACAAAATCAACTGAATGGCTTTCTCACAAAGCAGACCAAATAATATCTTCTGAATAAATACTGTAATATTACAAGATGATAGATATACATCTATATTAAAATACCACAGCTCCAAAGCAAAAACTGCTCAATAAACTTTCTTCCATACTGGCTAAAATGTACATATCAGGTTTTATGAGGCCAAATTCTGTACATTAGGTATCTATGACTGGTTGGCGATAAATAGTTTTAAAACAATATACTAAAAACAAATCAAATGTATATATAAATGCTCATTACACTGTTGGTTACTACAGTTATATCTAGAGCTTTAAATAATTCTATTTTTTGTCAAAGTCCACTCAGACTGGTTCAGTTACTTCAGAACACAATTGACAAGACAAATTATTCTTCTCTACTCTGTTATTACAATACAGTCTGTGATAATTTCACTTTAAAAATTTCCACTTCACACTCTTTATCACTAAACTGACAATCACAGTCTAGAACTAGAACTCTTAATGATTTTTTGACAAATATTTATACCCTGACAGAAGTCTAGAACATTCCATGCAATACTAGGTATTCTAATGCAATAATATTCAATTAAACCAATGAGAAATTCAAAGTTTTAGCAACATGATGCAATAATCTCACTATTGTAAACAATTGATTTACACAATGTATGATTTGTAAATAAACTTACCATAAAATATTGCTTCTAAAATCAACTAAGTATGATACCTCACTATATAAACTATCTAAACCATAATGCTTGGCGTTAAACTGAAACATTCATGTATATCTAACAATGCACTTATACACAAAACAACATATTAACATAGAAAAAATCAGTGTTGTAGGCAAGACCTTAATGTTCAAGTTTGAGACCTTGTAATAAGTTACAAAAGAAAAATAAAGCAAGAAGAATAAAAATCACGTGCATCAAACAATCTTTATTAACATCTTAACCACAAATCTTTTATATGTTAACCCCACAATCTTTGTTTTAACATCTCTTTCTATGAACAAATTTTGAATGAAGGAGAAAAATTAAAAAGGTCAGCAAATAAAACTAAAACCAGTACTGGTGTCAATAAATTCTTTATAATCTCTGAAGCTAAACAGGATCACAGCAGATGTACTAGACATGTTGAATATCAGAGATAATTGCTAACATTTGATGTAAATTCATACACCAGATGAAGTTCTAACATGCATAATGCAATGTATAGTAGCAGTTACGTTTTAGCATTGCATGGTATAACAGCAGAGTGGCATACAGACAATATGGTGGTTGGTGACGTAAACAAAAATAAGGGAAGCTCTATAAACATCATTGTAAAGGTGTAGTACCAAGAGGGTTTTACTAGTAAAACATCTTTGATGCTACATCATACCTCGTATGAACTGCTGTTTAATCGATATTTAGTGCTTAATAATCTGGATAGGTGACTGGTCTAATAGTGCTAAAACTTTTAAATTTAACCGGTATAGTTTTCGAAACCTGTAAAACATCGAGACCCAGAGGGTTGAGACTGAGACCTTCTAAAGGATGATCTTGAGACCTACAACACTGGAAAAAATACAAACTTTTCTTCACAATAACACTGGTATACGTAACTACACCTGACTTATTCTAGAATAATCCCATCTAAATGAAGGAGCCAGGTCTGTATCCTTGTGTGAAAAGAGAGTATCTTAAGTAGAGATCTAGTCAGAGGCTACAGTCTCAACATGCAGGTGTAGTAGGAGTCAGTATATGTAGTATATGAACATACAACTTACATATATATAGTGTCTGATGTTATGAATACCACACACACTTAACACTTTTATGTGTAGTTTAATGCAGAATGTTCTTATCAGTGTCTTTCAAATTCCTGAATTCTTATATGCAGTCTTCGTTTGTCTTTCTTAAAAATTCATAAGTATTATTTTAGGTTTTTATCTAAAACAGTGATAAAGTGAAATGTCTTTCATAAAAAAATAATCCTGTACAAAATTCAGTTCCATTTGATCACCATGACTTACATACATGTTGTAGGTGTTTCAAAGCAACATATTATATTTAGATTTAGAGAAATGTTTGTTACTTCTATAGTAATAACCTCAATTACTTCCACCCTTACATGTTATTTCATGTTATAATATAATATATTGAAGGGTAGTGTTTTAAGGTCACAAGATCACAGTCAATTGATGTGGTGGCTTTATTGTTTACTCTGAAAATAATATATATTATCAATATGTATACATGAAGTCAATAAAAATACCACTTTGAAGAAAGATGTCGCATGTGTCTATAGCAAGCAACCCATTGAGTATTTTCCTTTAAATTGTAAAACTGGCACAGTGGTATGTCTGCGGACTTACAACACTAGAAACCAGGTTTCGATACCCGTGGTGGGCAGAACACAGATAGCCCATTGTGTAGCTTTGTGCATAACTTAAAACAAACAAACACTATGGCGGGCTGACAGAACACTGCTCAAATTTGCAGTGGACATCTTCTCGGTCAAAGTACCACAGTACTAATTAGTTAAAATTACTTCAACCTGGTTATTATTATTTATATTTGTAAATTGTTGTATTATTTGATATGAAACATTTTTTTATGAAATTATTTATTTTGATTAATACTTTGGTATAAGTGTTCCAACTATTGGTGGTAAAAAAAAACAGTTCTAGGAAGTGGTATATTGAACCCTAAGATTACCAATACAGGCACATTATGAACACTCATTTAATGCTGTTTTGTACCATAAGCATATTTCTCTTAAAATGTTTTGAAATATCGTATAATAATTAACATTCACTGACTCTCTGTAAGCATTCTGTGAATAGTTAAAATAAAAAATAGAAAAATGTACCAATTGTTCTAAAATGTGTGTTTGATATCTTGGACATAAAAGGGCTAATTTAATTCTTTTGGTAAACTTGATATTGCTTTTGTAACTTGGTAAGTATATAACAACTCATACATTTTTTCATTCTTTCTTAAATAGTACTTTGATAATGTGACTTCAGGAGAATCAGCAGGATACTGAACTTATTTACATCAACATTTTTTTTTTCTTTCTTTTTTTTCAGACACTTCTTTCGGTCATCTGTTTTAGGAACACCTTTCAGTAATGATAAAGGGAAGGTTGTGAGACGTCGTTCAGGAGTACCTGCACCATCTTGGCTGCATCATCCCAAAACAATTGACATATAATCCTAATTACTTTGAGTTGTGGCTCCAATCTTCTAGAAAGCAAATTTACTATAATATCACAAAATTACTTGTATGGGAAGTGGAATTAATTATCTTGATAGAAAATATATTTGTTAGATAAATGACATAGTTCTTAAAAAATCATTTTATTCTAAGGTTAATGTTCTTTGCAGTGAAGATGTAATCAGTCATGTAATTTTTTAGTTAGAAAAAGTAAACTGCTACAGACCTGTTACAAGTGAAGTTATAACTTTGACACACAAAATTGTAATTTTGAATATTTGTGATATTCATTTATAAATCTTAGTAATGTTTCAAATGATAAGAAACACCAGTTGTGAAAGTTTTTTAAAGTATTGTTTGTCAAAGTACTTTTAATTAGTGAATATTTTGTTCTTGTTAAAATGTTATATGCATCCATCAAGTTTCCTTGTGTTATTTGGGCTTGAACATTATCTGGACTCTCTCTCTTTTCTTTTTTAATGGTTTTAGGAAAACGATACTATTTAGTAGTTTACTGATGTTGTGATATATATCATTCAAAGATTTATAAATATTACAGTTTGGACCACCACAAACTTTTCTAGTAACATGAGAAACTAAATAAAATCTGTCAGATTTAATATGTATCAGAATATCACTCATTAAATGTTACAAGTTTAAGATCAATGCTTATGGAAATCTGTTACAGTGTGTTATTCTGTCTAACAATTTACATCTTCAGCATATAGATGTTATAACAGATAGAAAGTTAATAATTTCTCCAAAATATTTGATTACAGTATTTAGAAAATTGTTAATTAACAGAGTTCCTATTATTATTATGCAGCAAAAAAAAAGTCTGATAAAAATAGTGAAACAACAATAGGGGAACCACTAACAAAACAAGACAAAGTTCACAACATGCTTTGGAGAACATCATGAGTTTCAAGAAGTAACTGCATGTAACTTGTAAATTAAAAGTGTTCATATATCGTACAAAATATACTTCATTACAGTTACTCATTATTCTGGTAATTCAATAACTAAATAATGCATATCACAGAATGCCAGTGGCTATCTGTATAATGTGAGACAATTTAACATAGTCTTGAAACTTACAACATTCTTACATTATTTCTTGCTGAATCATTCCTGTAGCTGACTTTCTGTTGAACGTGTTCTAAATGAAACTTCTTATCGTGTATATGTATTGCTCTTGCAACTTTTAGATGGAAACATCACTTTCAGTTCTAATACTTTTTTGGGAGCAACCCAAGAATAAACATTTCTTTACTGCCATCCATATTTCACTACCAAACCATGTTACTCTAGTTGACACATGTATATGTGTTGCTTGAGTACCTCATCTATGCACTTAATTTCCTTTTTTTTGCTTTGGAATATTCTTCTGCTGAACTTCTTGTGATCTTTATCTAGAGATAGTTGATGACTCTTTCAGACTGCCTCTTAGCTTCCTTAACCTTTTGTTCAGCAGTAGTAATTAGTTTCTGTGCAGTGGTTTGGAGGGTCAGCTTTCTTTTCTTGACCATGGCTAGCTGTTCTGGAAATGTCTTCCTCTTGCTTGCTCATTCAGTTTCAAGAATTTCTTTGCTTTTCTTCAGATGGTGTATCTTGTATCTGTTACTTTGTTGTCAAGATGTGTAGGTCACCGGTATGTTGGACGTTCTGGTTGGGATGGCTATAGACCTCCTTTAATGCCACCCCTGATATGTAGGCTGCATGACCCAACCTCAAGCAGGTAAGTATAGTCTGGATCTTTTCTCTCTCTTCACTTTTATTTTCATAAATTTTCCACTTCACATTTTATACATTGGCTGAAATCTGAGCAATTTGCTTGAGATTAAGATGATCTATACCTTTTTTAAATTTTTCATCAAGGTTCAATGTCCAAGTATCTAGACACAACTTTGTTACCTTTTAAGCATCTCGCCATGAAGTACATTTGCTCCTTCCAGCAATTTTGCTCTATAGTATGGTGCAAATTCAAAACAAGTGACTTAATACAACATGGTAGACCTACACTTCATTCATTGAGCAATGCTGCTATCTGGAAACATGACGTTGAATATGTCTCGAACATCAGCACCTGAACTGTAGGAGTGGTGTGGCATACTGCAATTTAGAGCCCAGGAAATTTCTGTTTTATGTTGCCATTTCTTCAATGCATATCTTGTGATATGAGAATCATTAGCAACTACTGCCATTTAAGGAACTTGCCCCTCTTCCTTATACCTAAGATGGTACTCCTGTTTCCTGGATTACTGCAGACTGGAATGTTTTAAAATGAAAAAGATTTGTGGCACAATTTGTAGCATATTCTAGTAGGCCCCTGTGGGAGGTCTATTAGCCAGTTCCTGTGTTGCTCTTTTGCGTCTGTTCTTAATGTCTATCGGTAGTGTCTTTCTGTTTTACACTGAAGAAATGAATGTATACACCCACCTGTGTCAAGACTTTCCAACTGGGTTGCATCACATATAGAGTTAAATCAATTAGAAATTATCCATTCATGTATACAATTTAAGAACAGGTGAAAATGTATTATAAAACATATATTTCATTGTAACTCTACAGAATGTATATACAATACATTACTTACTGCATCCACGTGTACAATGGCATGTTTGATGCTACAGATAGAGAATACAAGATGTATATACAACACATTACTTAGTACAACCACATTTACAGTGACATATCTGATACTATAGATAGCGAATACAGTATGTATAGACAAAACATTACTTAGTACAACGGCATGTCTGATGCTACAGATAGAGAATACAGGATGTATATACAACACCTTACTTAGTGCAACCACATGTACAGTGACATGTATGATCCTATAGATAGGGAAGACAAGATGTATATACAACATATCACTAACTGCATCCATGTGTACAGTGTTATGTCTGATCCTACAGATACATAGTACGGGATGTATATACAACACATTACTTAGTGCAGCCATGTGTACAGTGACATGTATGATCCTATAGATAGGGAAGACAAGATGTATAGACAACATATCACTAACTGCATCCACGTGTACAGTGTTATGTCTGATCCAACAGATACATAGTACGGGATGTATATACAACACATAACTTAGTGCAACCACATGTACAGTGACATGTATGATCCTATAGATGGGGAAGACAAGATGTATAGACAGCATATCACTAACTGCATCCATGTGTACAGTGTTATGTCTGATCCTACAGATACATAGTACAGGATGTATATACAACACATTACTTAGTGCAACCACGTGTACAGTGACATGTATGATCCTATAGATAGTTTTCCATAAAATCACTGATTTATCCAAAACATTATATTAACTTTACAACATAACACTACTTGTCATGTAATTTTTTAAAATCTACAGGGTGATGTTCATGGGTTGCTGTTACAAAGATGATGACGACAACTTGTGACATAAGTCATGTATTTCGAAGGCTATATGCACATTAACTGGAGTACTAATCTCTTTTAGCCTTGGGTACATTTAAAACAGCACATGAATAACATTGAAATATTGAATATAAATCTTCCTTTAATATTTTAAGGAAATATAATTGTTATTGGACTATATAAGGCTATTATAGCATCTGGCATGTACAATAATGACATTGTGTGGCATACAGAATAACTAATATCAAACATGTTATTTTCATAACAGTTTGTTTGTAAAACAAGTATTCTAGGCAATTTATTGCAAAATTTCTTGACATTTAGATTTGTTTTAAATTATCTGACAAGAGAAATCTTTATAAATATATCCTGGTTTTCCAGTGCTAGTGGGTTCCCTGATTAATACTACCTTAAAACTAGACAAAACTGTTCTTACACGTGAATTTATCTTATCCATAGTGAGTCTTAAAATCAAATATCTATGGAAATCTATTTTGTTTAATATCTTGCATTTATCAGTATAGTCAGTTGGTTTACATTTAATTACTTATTATTAGGGGATAATTGGATGTCTTTTATCTTTTCTTCAGTAACAGTTACAGTGTTGTTATAGAAGTTTCATGGTAATGAATGTGTTGTATTTTTATCAAAGTTAAATAAAAGTGGAGTGATGAAGCTCTCTTTCTATTAAGATCTTGTTGATAAATACAATAATGAATAAATAATAACAAATATGTATTTTATTTTGTTTATAACTATTATCCATCAGTTGTTGAAGCTACTAACCTTGGTTATTGTTGCAAAGAGGTTATTAACCTTCTCCTATGTTGTTTAAAAATGTTGTCTGTTGATCTTTATCATTTACAGTTTAGGCTGTTATGGTGTAAGGTAATTAATCCTGGATAAAGCTAATGCGGCAAAAAGTTTGGAATAAATATATTTTATCTGATTTTTAGCTGAAATTTATTAACTGTTTCAAATACTTCCTGTTTTCCAGTTCACAGTAATTGATAATAAACAAATTTGACTCAGTTTTAAAAATCTTCTTCCAAACTGGAAGAATTACTTATATCTTCAAATATAACCCTTGAAAAACACTAGTCAGTTCTGTTCTTGATCTACTCTGCTAAATTAGAGAAAGTTAATTACTTAACACACATAAGTGTTAGATATACACAATTGTTTCGTTTAAGTTTGATGTGAATGTTATGATTTAGACAGTTTATATAGTGTGAATGTTAAATTTAGTTATTTTTCAAAGCAATAGTCTATCCCAAGGTTATTTACGTAACTGTTTATGAATCATACATTATGTAGTTTAATAGTTAGGAATTGGTGATTGTTATACTATTGTGTCATATTTCTAGAACTTTCCGAGTTTTTCTCGTTGTTTTAATTGAGTATTAATGCATCATAATATTCAGTAGGGTGTGGAATGTTCTAGACCTCTGTCAGGGTATAAATATGCATCGAAAATGTAGACTGACAGATAGATCTAGATCGTGTAATTGTGAGTTTAGTGATAAAGAGTGTATCGTGTTGATTTTAAAATGGAGTTATCCCAGCTCGTATTATAAAAACATAGTAGAGAAGAATAATTTGTCTTGTCAATTGTGTTCTAAAGTAATTGAACCAGCCTGTGTAGACTTTGACGAAAAAGAGACAATTATTTAAAACTCTGGATACAACTGTGATAACCAACAATATAACAAACATTTGTGTATACGTTTGACTTGTTTTAATATATTATTTTAAAACAAGTGTACTGTGTGCTGTTCATTTATAGTTGACATTTATTGCCAACAAGTCACAGACCCCTACTGTAAAGAATCTGGCCCCATTCATACATAAAGCGTGACAGTGGCAAGCCAGCCTGATCTACGGTGGTAAACAGCAGTAGAAGTAGACGTAAACAATAGCAACAAATAGGCCCATATATGCACAGCTGTAGTGGTGGCGAAAATATTATACAGGTCACAACCACACTAGATAATCATGTCAACTTACTTTCATAAGTGGAGAGAGAGGGGCAAGCAACTAAGCATTAAAGATGATGATCTACAAGAGTTTGTTAAACAACAACAAGAAAGAGAGAAGAGCATTGACAGAGAAGAGAGGGGGAGAAAGAAGAAAAGGAGAGTGGAAATAGAGAGAATAATATTACAATTTGAAATTGCCAAGCTCACCCAACAGAAAGATGGATGACCCAAGAATGACAATGGGGTCAGGACAGCCTACTCAAGCTGCCCAAATTTGATGAACAGAAAGATGGCATGGATGCTTTTCTAGAGAGGTATGAAAGATTCACCCAAAGTTAGAACTGGGACAGAGGTGACTGGGCAGTCTGTCTGAGACCCCTTCTCACAGGAAAAGAGCTACAAGTGTATGTGGGCATGACGTCAGAAGATGCCATGGACTATGACAAATTAAAAGTGGCCTTGCTGAAACGCTATAAACTTACTAAAGAATATTTTCGTTGGAAGTTCAAAGAAGTAAAACCTCAGACCAGAGAAACTGTATTTCAGATTGGGGCACGTCTACAGTGGTTCTTCACAAGGTGAACTAACATCGCCAAGTGTGAAGATAGTTTTGAATGACTGGTAGATCTATTAATACGTGAACAGTTCATGATAATGTTCTCTATTGACATGTCACTGTTCCCAAAAAAGAGAACATCAAAATATGTAGACGAGATGATCAAGCTGGTAGAACGGTATATGAAGGGTGTATAACTGACAAGTCCAACAATATCCAGTCAAAGTCGAAACTGAGGGTGGCTGACCAGAAGCAGGATGCTACCAAAGGTGACGAAGTCAACAGACAAAACAGAAAAGATGCTATGCTTGTTATAAAATGGAGCACATTGCAAGTCTATCACCTACAAGCAACATAATGCAGCTGGAGCTACCTACAAAGATGGTGCTGGCAAGAAACAAGAAAAGTGTGACTGTCACCATGGATGCTGCTGCCAGAAGAAACAGCTCGTCAGATTCACCACAGGAAGGAAGTGCTATCACCATGATTAAACAGTACATGATTGATGGTCAGCTCAAGTCAGAAAATGGGCCAGCAGTGTCAGTGGTGATTGCAATGTGTGAAAAACATTGAGAGATGCCAATAAACCATAACATGCCAGTAGGTGAATGCTATGTCGGGGACAAGAAAGTGAAAGTCCTACGAGACACTAGGTGCGGCATTGAGAACCAGTCAAGCATGCTGATTGATAGGACTGTGAGAAAGTTTCCCATAGCAAGAATAAAGGCGGGTCATCAGAGATGTGACCAGATTCTATAGGTCATGTGACATCTGCCAAAGGACAGTGGCACCTTGGCCACCTTCCATCTTGGTACTGTCCTAATAGAAAAGCCATTCAGCAGAGTAGCTGTGGACTTGATCAGACCACTAGCACCTGTATCCGACAAGGACAACTACTACATGCTGACAGTAGTCAACTATCTTATACGTTACCCAGAAGCCATAGTACTGCTGAAGATATAATTGGAGAGAGTAGCAGAAGCCCTCCTGGAAGTGATCTGCAGAGTAGCCTTTCCAAAAGAAGACTTCAGTGACAGAGGGACCCAGAACTGATGCAAGAGGTGTGCATACTCATCATCACTAGGCAACTCTTTACCACCCTGTACAACCCCAGATGCAATATACTTTGTGAGAGAATCCATAGTGTCTTAAAGAGCATGCTGAAGAAGATGTTCCAGGAGAGATTGTGTGATTGGGACAGGTATCTACAGGCAATATTATTTGCTTAGCAAAAAATCCTACAAGAGAGTACCAGATTTTACCTCTTCGAGTTACTGTACAGAAGAACAGTACCAGGTCTGATGCAGATATTGAAAGAACTGTGAACAAGAGAAGAAGAGACGAAAATGAGGAACACATACAATTTCATTTGAGACTTGAGAAACTGACTGGAGGAGACCTGTCAACTCACTCAATAAAGTTTGTATGGAGCTCAAGGCTATCAGAAACACTTCTGTGACAAGGATCCACTTTTTTAACACGGGACAGAAGGTCTTGGTTCTGTTATCCACAGACAAAAACAAGCTCACCCAGCAGTGGAAATGACCTTTTGAAGTGAGGAAGTGGTCAACAGAATGGACTATAAGGTTAAAGTGGAAGGAAAGACCAAGATCTACCACGCCAATCTGTTGAAGAGGAACTTTGAGAAGGAAGGGGGAACTAATGGGTGCAGATATTGAGGTACAGATGGACATTACAGGTGTGGCTGTCATAGATGAAGACCTAAGACTGCTGGGTGGAGATGGGATGTACAAAGACATCAACATCAGTGATGAACTGACTGGCAAGCAGAAGAAAGAACTACAAGTATGCAGACGTCTTCACATAAAAAAGACCTTGTGCAACACAAGACCATTGTCAAGGTGAAGCCCTACCAGATGTCCGAAACAATGAAAGACTTGATCAAGGAAAAAATCGAGGTATTGTTAGAAGCAGGAATCATTGAGCCTTCGATTTCAGCCTACTGTTCACCAGTGGTAATCGTGAAGAAGGGGGATGGCTTAAACTGGTTCTGCATAGATTTCTGGAAGCTGAACCTAGTGATTAAGTTCGACTCCTAACATATGCACAACCCAGAGGCTATCATGGCAAAACTAGATGGGGCCAATTTTCTTTACCAAGATTGACCACAGTAAAGATTATTGGAAGATCCCAATGGAGACAGAATCTAAAGAGAAGTCCGCCCTTTTGATACCAGATGGATGCTTCCAGTTCAAGAGGATGCTGTTTGGATTACTCAACTCAGCAGCAACATTCAACCACATAACGAAGAAGATGTTGCACAAAACAACCAACATTGACCATTATATGGACAACATTCTGATCCACACATCCAGATGGGAAGACCACCTGAAGAAACTCGGAGACCTGTGAGGGCAGAAGGTCAGATCAGATCATCTAAGTGCTTCTTATGGTTATTCTGTGCTGGACACAAGGTATGTGACCAACATATAGCCATGGAAGAGGAGAAGCTAAACTACATAAAAGATATACCAGCACTGACGACCAAATGGCAAATCAGATCCTTCCTGGAGATAGCGGGATACTATAGGAAATTCATCCCAAAGTATGCTGAAGTCATTGCACCACTAACTAACCTGACCAAGAAAGGCCAACCCAACAAGGTGAAGTGGGAACAACCACAGCAGATTGTATTCCAGAAGGTGATAGAAAGTTTGCCAATCCATTGTTCAGGCCAATGTATCAGACATTGGAATTGCAGCAGTACTTCTGGGCTGTTTCTCATAATGTACATCAGTAAAAAGCTGTTGAGCAGTGATAAGAACTACTTAATGATTGAATGAGAATGTCTGGCCATCATATTTGCCAGGTGGAAATTACAGAAAATGTTGGTGCAGACTGTATGAGTAGAATTTGCCCATGAACTGAAAACAGGCTCTGTATATACTAATAAAAAATATTATTAAATAATATTATTTAA